AAATATTTTGCACAGCATTAAAATAGAAAATTTTGTTAATTAAGCTATTGATTGAAGCTTTTCGATTTTCTTTTTATTTTCTGTATCTATATTTGTTTTCCTTCTTTGCCTCATTTCTCATATAAATAATCGTAAAAAAAAAACAATGAAAAAAAAATCACACGCAATAAATATTTAATTTTTTGTCATCTAAGAAGATGCTACCTTGTAAAAATTAATAGTACTAAAATAAAAAATAAAAATTAAAAACATCTACCTAAAATCCATAAATAGACCACACTAAGTTTTTTTTTGTGATTTTTCATGGAAAAAAACGAAAAATCGATGTTACAATTAAAAAAAGTTCTAAATCGGAATATGAGAACGAGGGATGCTTAGAATTGATAAGATTTGAAAATATAATTTAAAAAATGATGAAATTGCAACAATATAACATTAATTTCTCATCAGCAAATTAATCACCGCATAAATGAAAGATTTATAGGTAAATTATAATTTTGAATTATTATAATGATGATAAAATAATATAGTTCTGAAAAATGACAAGGAATTAAATTGAATTCAAGAAATTACTAAAAGGAGGAAGTGAAAATAAATGATAATAATAAATTACAAACAATTTATCGGCGTGAAAAAAAAAATTTATTTCCTGCAAAAAATTATGGCATTTTTAAAATCATTTTCGTAACTTTGCCTTCTGAAAAGTTCAATAAGATAAGTCGGAAAAAATTGTTGAAAAGATTGATAAAAATTGAAATTGGCATCCGTAATGATCGAAATTAATGCTATGCAAATGGCTATAAAATAATTTAAGTGAATGAATAAATGTTAGATAGAGAAAAAAATTGGTTTCACAAAATTTCTCTTGTTTTTTGGAAAACTAAAACTTATTGCGAAGTACTTTCAAACTATTTGAAAAATTCTTAATTCTTTTATCGCTAAATAATGAGAAAAAAAATTAAATATACATATTTAATAAATGTTTTCTCTTTAGAAAGCTATCATATCGATAAATTATCAATCTTATTTGATTGTTAGCATAAAATATTTGCAATAATTAGGATTTCAACGAAGTATTATCAAAAGATGATGCGATGCAATCTTTCGTAAATTAAATTAGAAATTCTGCTAAGATATAATTTTGCAAAAATTTTGGTTAAACTTAATAAAACTGATTATACATGCTTATCAATGCTAGCAGAACATTGAATTTGATGAAAAATGATTCAGCTTAAATACGTACCATTGAAAATTTTAGCCATCCTGCATATTAGCCATAAAAATTGACAATCAGCTAGGCTAGCAAAATACAAAATTCAATTGTGTAATGGGATAAAATAAAAGTTACATATTAAAAAGTACAAAATGTTTTTACACTAACACAGACCTTCTTTTTATTAAAAACTTTTCTCCTTTCTCTTTTCTTTTTTTTTTTTTTTGGCTTTTCTTTCAACTTTTCAATTATTAACCCTAGTCACTGTCAGTTGCTGCTGTATGGAGAGGAAATCTGATTATTGCTATTTCAAATCCTATCTCATAAGCATTCAGGATTTAAACGGAATCAAATTTGACAGCACAAAAGATATACAAGCTTCTTTAATTATTTGAAAAAAAGAACAAGAGGGCACTTTTATTTGTTGAAAAAAAAAAACGGAAAGAATTGTATTTGAAAAGAATGAAGAAAAAAACGGCAAAAAATAAAAAGGAAAGTGAAGGACAAATTGATATATTTGGGGAAATCAAATTCTTTTATCAAAAATTGAGTTTTTCTTATTTGACCATATAATGCTGTTTAGCTTCTTCCTCTGCTCATTCTTCTTTGGCATTTCAATCATTCATAAAAATATATTTCACTCAGTATTTTAATTATTTCTTAAGAAAATTTCCGTTTATTGCATTTTAATTCATTTGTTTGTTTTTTTTTTCGTTTCATTTTAAAAAATTTTAAATCAATACAAAAATTTCATGCTATTTAAGTTAAAATCAATAGTTTTCTACAATTATCTACATATAAAAATTTATTTTATTTTTGTATGAAATGTAATCTTTTTATTTAAAAATTTCAAATGATTTATGGTAGTTGTTTTGGAATGTAAATTTCTTCTTTGTTATATGGATTGCACATTACAAAGCAATTTAGTTTTTCCATTAATGTAATTTTGTTTAAATTCAAAATTACTTAAACTAATCGTTTCAGGCTATTTCTTTATTTTTTAAATTGGTTTTCAAAGTTTGGACAAATTTAGTCTTAGTTTACCATTGCTTTAAACTATCGTCGTCCAAAATACAATTTTAAAAGTGAAAGTAAACATGGGTGTATTTTATTGTAAAATTCTGTACCGACGAAATAATTTATATTATACCTTAATTTTATATTATTTGAACTTTTCTTCTATTTTTCACATGCTCATCCAAATCATATAAAATTAAAATTATTGAAATTTTTTTTTTTAATTTAACCAAAAACATTTCTAAAAATCCAAATTATACAAATGCATCGCAATTTTTCTCTCCCACTAATGATAAATTAGTTCCAGATAGTACATCGCGAATCATGCAATTTCAATTTGTTTAATTCCACTTTAAAAACTGTCGATACTTTATTGAACCATCCTTCTTCTTCATTTTCAATACCTCTAATAATTATGCCTTATAAAATAGAATATAAAGTAAAAAATTAATATGTTGGAAATACACGGTTTTTCTTTTTCAAAATCGGTCTGATTTTATTGTATATTCTTATCTGAATTTTCGATATATTTTTTTATCCTTTGATGTCTCAAATATTTTGAAAATTTTTTTTTATAGCGGTGTGAAAATTTATGCTAGATAATAACCAATGTAATATTGATAATAACCAATGTAATATTAGTGGAATAAAAATAGAGAATTTCAATGCAGCGAAATTTTTCCGTGTTTTTGATTAATAAATTTAAAAGAATACATTATTTTTCTGTTATTTATTAACGGTAAATCTCCAAAAAAAAAACAAACAAACATATGAATTAATAAAACAATAAATTATTCGACAAATTAGTTAAAATTTAAGCAATTACTTCCATTGGATTTTTTCCTTTTTTTATTTGAACAATTTTTTGGTGTTTCTGAAAAAATTTTTCCATTTTCCAATACTTTGCTTATTTTTCTGCAAAATCCTAAAGAAAAAAAACAGGATTTTATCTTCTCGAACTTATCTTAAATTTCTAAAAAATTAGTTGACTATTCATATTAACTTGCAATTTCTTTTTTCAAATTGAAAAAAATTTTTAACAGACTATCAAGCTCTAAGATTATAAAAAATTAAACAAAAACTTAATTAAAAGTGCTAAAAATTACAATTTTAATTTCAATTTTTACTCAGAAACTTTATTAGCTTTGTTATGTGCAAAAATTTGTTACTTTTATTATTCATTACTTCCTTCCTTCATTTTTGCATTTTACTTCCTCTTCTGAAAGCAAAAGGTTGATAAAAATCTAATGCAAAATTTTAGAAAAAGCCTTTAGTTCCTTCAAGAATTGCTAGTAAAAAGCGATAATATTTTTTCTTTCTCTCTTACATCTTTTTTCTTTTTTTTCTTGAATTTTTCACAAATTTCCGGTAATATTTTTTTCTGTCGATCATATCGTTTGTATTTCTTTTAATTTTCCATAATTCTTTTTTCCTTTAACGCTAAAAGAATTCATCGCTAACGATAATCGTGCAAGCTATTGCCAAACATTTTTCTCTTCTTTCTTTCTTTTTCCTCTTCCTCAATTTTTTCAAGGAAATATTTTTGCTAAAATTTGTAAAAAGGAAGTGTGAAGCAAAAATCCAACCGTTTATTCGTCAACCGAAAAAGTAATTTAAGCTAATTTAAAATTGAAAGGAAAAAACTTAAAAGTAAATTTTTTTACAGCATGCTGTGTTTAATCTGACAGAAAATTAATCTAACGATAAATTTCACACTTGTAATTCAATCAACAGGTGATTAGTTTAACATATTTTTGCAACTTTTGCTTCTTTTTATTTTATATGAAATAAATCTCATTTTTTACAAGGCTTAATGTAATGGAAAGTTAATCATATGCATGACTAAATCGAATAAAATGAAAATTTGAGCGCAATATGAGGAATATTTAGTATTGCATGAATTTTGCTTTTTTTTTTGTTTTTATTTTTTTCAAAGAAAATTATCTGCTACATTTCACAAACTATTTCATTTCTTCGTATTTTGTGATGAATTTCGCATAAAAGTAATTTAAGCATTATTAATTTCATTTTCATTCTTCATTCTTCTTCTTCCTCTTTTTTCAGATGTCTGCAATGATTATTAATTTATCATTGTCAAAATTTTCATCTAATCAACTAAAAGCTTATGGTATCATGAAATTGATGAAAGCAAAAAAAAACAGAAAGTAAAAGAACAGACATAATAAGATGGGAAGCGTTTTTATAATTTTTTCACTTATTTTTAACTGTTGCAAGTAAAATGTATTGTAATTGATTGTTGTTATTTACTTCACGGCTTTAACTATTTGCTAATTAAAATTTTAGAAATGATTAACAACATTAGTTGTTGTCTTCTTAAGAAATCATATTAATAAGAATAAATTAGTTTTGTGTTCCCTTTTCAATTATGTTATTAATTTCATTTACAATTTCTTTAATTTTAGACTGATGAACAGAATGGCGATCATTAGCTCATAATTTTTGCTATTTAATATCTGCATCTGGCAATCTAAGTCTAGGCATTTTTTTTATGAATGGTTTTTTTCTGGTAGCCTTAAAAGTAAGCCTAAGCTTTAGTAGGAGTAATATTTTCGTCGTTTTAACTCTGATATTTTAAGTTTAACTTAAACATTTTTACCGGAAATAATATTTTTCACATTTCTTGATGTTATCCGATCGATAAAACAGCTATGGAAAATTATTCAAAGGAGAAAAATTTTATATTTTAGTGAAAGAAAAGAAAATTAATTACAGTTATTTTAGGATGTACAAAAAGAAATGATAAATAGAAATGGATGGCAAACAGTTGAAGAATAATAGTATTGCGGAACATAAAGATAATATAGCAAATTGTACCTATTATGCCGCCGATTATCTTGAAGAGCGCTTTTGGCTTGTATCAGTTATTGGTACAACGGTAGCAACACTATCCATTATACAAAATTCATTTCTATTTGTTATACTAATTGCTAAGTAAGTCTTTTACATTAGGTATATTTTAATATTTAGTTTAAATATTTGAAATTAATCATATACAAAACAAAATTATTCACATTTAGCTTATATTTTTGTGATAATATCCGATTTTAAATTTCCATTCCAATTATTTATGTAAATTATCTGATAATAATTAAAACAGTAGTAAGAAAGCAATAAAATATATCAAAATAAATTTCGTAGAAGTCTAGCAAAATTTTATGTTAATATACACTTTTCTTCTTAATTTGTACTGTTTGATTTTGTCCTTATTATTTGCTCTATTTATTTTAATAATGGACTTAATTGTTTTTTTTCGACAACAGTATATCTCGGCATTTTTAAACAATATCTAATCATCATTAGCTTTATAAAATTCATAGAATGCTTAACAATGAATAGCTTAAAGTTAGAAGAATTTATAGTATAATTTAAAATTGCCATATAATTTGCAAAATATGACATAGCCATATTTCACTTGCAAAAAGAACGAATTATCAGATTCTGTTACATACTGTAGTAATGTAAAATTACTGTATGTCAAATTACTATAATGAATACAGGTAAAAGAAATATTTTTTCTTTTTGTAAAAAAAATATTTATGACAGTGGTACTGCAGTATTTTAAATTAATGTTAATCAATTAGTCAAATCAAATAATTTTTATTAAATGATCATTTTTAGAAAATCTCATCGTCAGTCTTATGTATTATATTTTATCCTATTAGCATTTTTTGATATATTGGTTGCGGGTGCTTACATTCCGTTAATGTCCATATCACAACTTGCCGATTACTTCATGTCACCATTACTACTGCAGGCTTGGTATCGTAATCAATCTTAATTCAAAATAAATATATTAGAGTAATTAATTAAGTTTCTTTTATGCTTTTTCCTTTTTTGGATAATTTAAATCATAATAGAACAGAATCTTGGTACAGTTCAATGTATAAAAATTATTTTTGATAATAATTAAGGTACACATATATGATACCAATGATAACGATATCACATATAGCGATGACGTCATCATCATTCCTTATCCTTGCGGCAACATTTGAACGATACTGTATAACGGTTGTGCCAAAAATGATGGATTGTTTAAATCGTTATCGTGATTATATCGCTGCTTTTGATATAATAGTCGGTGTAATGACAAAATCATCGCTTGCACTCGAATTTAAAGTTTGTTTAAAAAAAATTCTCGAATTTTTTTTTTGAAAAAAAATTATTATGCTATCATTTTTTTATTTACTATTCTTAGCAATTATTACAGTTTTTCTTTGTTATGGAAAGCTTTATTCCACTTCTTTTATGAGGGAAAAAAAATGAAAAGATTCTGAATGAAAATTGAATTTTGGGTAAGGAAATAATATTACAATTGAAGAGACATTTATGGATCGCTAACACTTATGAAATAGCATTGCAAGAGAAGTTGTAAGCAAACATAAATAGTTACATGTAGCATTAATAGCACACGGAGAAACATATATTTTAATGAAAAAAGGAGATGATAAGGGGTGATAAGGAAGTGCTTTTTGGATTGATAGCATAATAATGACCGTGGATAATTACGCCAAAAAAAATAACAAAAATGATTTTTCTATTAATAATAAAAAATTGTTCATGTGATAATTCATTTTGGCTTACATTTCACATCCTTTATATTTTATGTTAAAAAAAAAGGAAAAGAGAAAAAAATTTTTTTAAGATTAAACAAAATGCTGAATGTGCGGGAAAAATGGCAGAATATACGTTAGAACTTTCTTCCATAGCGCTTAATCCAACATACAATGTGCTATGGCGTTTTTGGTTTCGTAATATTATCACAATTTTGTTACCATTTTTTTTGCTTGCTTTTTTTAACAGTCAAATTGTAATCGTCTTACAACGAAATCAACATACCGTTCAAACTGGTAAACTTGGTAAAATGCAAACAAAGGTTACATACATTAATATCTAATATTTATATTTTCAAAAAAATTTTAATTTTTTAAATACATTTATTTGTTAATGGTTTGATATCTCATCAATTTCTCCACTTTTTCCTTTTTTACAATAAATAATGCATTTATAAAATTATTTTAAAATTATTGCAATAAAAGTTAAGAATAGCATTTTTTACAATCAAAAAAGGTGAATTAATTCCCGTAATCTTAAATAAAAATTGTGATAATAAATAATTATTGGCAATTAATAATAAGAAAAAATGGAGGTATTTCCTAAATTGATTTTTTAATTTTTAATTTTTTAATTATTGACAAAAAATTTGATATAATTTTAACCTAAAGGGTCGTGTTCGAACGGCTACAAGGACGCTTGTATTTGTTGTTTTCACCTATCTTCTTTCCAATATCTTAAATGTTATCATTACAATATGGGAGTATATCGATATTGACAGTTTAATGACGGAATATACAGGATTGTATATAATTTTCACCGATCTAGTTTGTTTTCTTTCTTTTACTTAATATATTTCAATTCTCAATATGACAATGATGATAACACGAATGATAAACAATGGTAAAGTTAAGAACAATGTTAATATTAATAGCAGTAATATCAATAACAAAAGCAGCAGGAACATTTGAAATAATTGGAATGAACAAAATTTAACAATAAGCTTTTGTTCATTGCTTTATTTTATCAGTTAAAGTTGATAATATCAACTAGTAATCATCCTTTATATTGTTTGAAGAAATTTAAGTCTTATTACACTTGCCAAGGATGAAGCTAATCATCTTTATCAATCAATTTATCAACATCTGGCCCAGTGATTACTTTTTATTTTAGTTGATTTGTATATTAAATAATATATTAATTGATTATAAATATTACAAACATTGGAAGTTTATGCCCTTATAATAAGTAATTAAATGGATTGGCTATGCTGAATATAAAAATAAAATTAATTAACAATTTCGTTATGAATTTTAATTTAAAATACTATCCTTTTTTTTTTGCTTTACTGGCATCAGATCGGAAAAACAAAACTATTCAACTATCAACAGCTCGATCATTTTTCAAAATAATCAATATTAGACGGAGGAGATCATTGTACCAATCTGGTGACTGATTCATTAAAAATTCTCTATCAAATTTTTAAATAAAACTTTAGGTTTCATTGTTTACCACTTTGGCCGGCTCATTACGATTGTCTATTTATGCAATGTGTAATCCACAATTACGATTGGAATTTAAGAAAGGAGCTTGCAAAATTTTTAAATTGCCGTTAAAATTTAAGGTATTTTACAATTGTTTTAATTAAGCTAATGTTTTGAAATGACAATATGTTAAGATGAATTAAAAAATATTCGTAAAGCTGAGGTAAAATATCTTATTTGAAAAATATTTAGAAAATAAATAATCATATCTGCAGAAAATTATTATATTAACAATTCCAAATATTTATATATTGTAATACTGTACCGCAAATGTAAAAAATATAAAGTAATATTAACATATCTCATTTATTCATATCTTTATAATCAATATTCATATATCTCACTTATTTCATGTTATTTTGTTATTTCACTTTCTTATTAATTAATTAATCATAATAATGATAATAATAATAATCCAATTCCACTAAACTATATCAAAAAATTTCCACTTTATTTGAATTATTGTTTTAGATTGTTTACCTTTCAAGGTCTTACTTCAGCCAGTTTGCGAAAGAACCGAAGAAAACAGTACAATGAATGTGTTACTACCATTACGCAATGTTGAGCTTAATACCGATCAAATAAATCCAAAACCGCTGATCGTCGTTTTTCAATTACAACAAATATCTGATAAGGATTACGATGAAATTCTATTATAATACACGGAATTTCGAATTCATTATAGTTTAGTATATTTACTAATCAATGAATTTTTTTTTTGCGGGTATTATTATTTGTTATTGTCATTAATATTATTACTTATCATTATTGTTATTAGTATTACCACTATTATACTGCTCATTAATATAATCGTATTTGCTTGTTGCATAAATGTGATGATATTTTGCATGCTTTTTTGCTTATTTTATTTGAAAAAGGGAAAAAAAGCGAAGAAATTTGTTAAATTATTGACTAAAATATAAATCAATAAATTTGAAAATGAATTTTTACCAAAATATTCCAATGCAGTGCATATCGTTTCATTTGATAGTGATATGAATAACAACGGCAATCATATACTGAAAATAATTGAAACTTTAATGACTAATTTTATGAATACATTGAAAAAAAAGTTAATGGTCAAAATTCAATCGAATGTTGAAATCATTCGATCAAAAAAAAGAAATACTTTCAAATTTTTTCAGTTAAAAAAGAATTTCGATATTTATTTTATCCAATCAAGTACTATTCATTCCAAATGAGTGTCACCAATATAATCGGTGTAGTTTTAGTTTCAAAGAAATTAAAATTTTCACTTCTTTCTCTTTGTAAAATTCTTTCGATTTTTTTTTACTTTATAAATTAAAACTAATTTGCATAGATTTTCACAACTTTTGCTCTATTTTTATCAGTCTTGCAATAATACTTTTTAAAATATTTATTGATTACTTAGAAATATTTTGATATTATACACATAAATTACGTTTTATATTCATCCGATCTTTTTAAATGCTTAAACATAATAGCAAATATTAGCTGCAATGTTGAGAAAAAAAACTAGCAGCAACAAAAATATTCATCTTAAATTGATTTATATTTATGATATCATTAACTACGATATGCATTCTTGTTGCCTTTTTTTATTTCAATCCATTTTTTATTAGATATGCAAATCCATTATCTACCTATTATTCATTTCGTTTTTATCTATTTCCTGTTCTTATTTGCTAAAAAATTTTCATTTTTATACATTTTTTCAGTTTTTCTTTTTTTTTGAAAATGGCAGCAATTGGCAGTTAGCTATTAAGTATTTCATCATTTCTCTGCTATCTTTTTGTTGGTCAAATCCATATTTCAATTCATATTTTTATAAATCAATTATTACAAATATTATAATTATAGCAGCATATTAACGAAAAAAATTAGAATTTATGATCATAAATTTATAAAAATTAATTAATTACTTTGGTATTTAGGTTAACGTTATTATTACTTCAGCTTTTATAAAGACAAATTGTAGAGAGTAAAAGAAACTAATTCGAAGCGGATATTTTTTAATTGATATATTTGATAACCATGACAATTTTTTCTTTAGCTTCAATTACTAGTTCAAAGTTATCAAAATAATGAAACATGAAATAATCAGTAATGAAGAGATAAAATCAAAATTATTTCATTTGCTATCCATTTCATAGAATTTCCAGTATTTCTCGTTCTCTTTTTATAGGCCATTCCAGTCAATTCCAATTTCAGAATTTAAAACTTATAAAAAAATGCAATAGCATATAAATTGGATATTCAATTGCCTATTTAGCAAAAGTTTCGTATCAATTTTAAAATTTTTAACGAATAATATTTTGAAATGAATACGGCATTAGGTAGCTTTCTCCCTATTATATTGCTTATTTAAGCTTTTTAGAAGTATTCAAATTTCAAAACTATTATTTTTTGTGTTTCCCATATATTTCTAATTGGTATTACTAAATGTCTTTATGCATACATTAGATTTATTGCAACCATATAGCATGCATTAGTTTTTCATAATTATAATATTTGAATGGAATTTTTGGAAGATTTCATCCGATCAATTCGTCAGTGCTTCCAATTTTATTATTTGAATTCGTTAATGCTACAAAATCGATTTCAGCATTTAAAACTATTAACACCTTAAATCGATCCTATCATTTGAATACATTCATCATTTGAAATCATTAATATCACAGATTGATTTCATTATTTCAATCTGCTACTGCTAGAGGAGATGGTCTAATCAGTTGAATCGAGTCAAAAAGAGATTTTATCGTTTGAATTCATTAATGCTTCAAATCGATTTGATCGTCGGAATCTGTTCAGTCTTTTAAATAGGCTAGCAATTTCATGAATTAATTAGCTTCAACGAATAAAAATTGTCACCAGAAATTTCACACATTCATTCAGATGGTTGAAATAACGAAGAAATAAACATGTTGTAAAAAAATAAAATGATGATAATAAATGATAGCACCAGAAAGAGTGCTCAAAATTTAAAATCACTACTTATTGAATATTAAATTAAATAATCATTTATGGTTTACAAATATTAATTAATGTGATATGATTCGGAATTTGAAAATATGAAAATAATTGATGAAGAGAAATAAAGATGATATCAAAATGGTAATAAATGCTATTAATGTAATTGCTTCAATCAATAATTTTGAAATTTTTAAACTAAAATATAAAACTTTAATAATTATCTCATGTCTAATCTAGTGATCAGAAAATTTTGTCTTATTTAACACTTTATTTTTAAAATATTTTATATGATTATCATCATAATTATCATTATTCGCTGCATCTTCATTTTCCTCTCTCCTTCTCAAACCTCAATAATAATTATCATTATTCGCTGCATCTTCATTTTCCTCTCTCCTTCAAAGCTATTTAATTGATAAAAATGTTCACGATTGATAAAAGTGTCATTCAATATTAAAACTTTCATTTCTCGATAAGTCCAAAAAAGAGAGAGCAAAAAAGGAAAAGACAATAAATGGAAATTATTGTCTTTTCAGTTGACAAATATAATCCATCAAATTTCTTATTTTAGTAGTTGGCTGAAGATCAAGAAGTCTTTAGTAACTGAGTTGTTAATATTGCCCAAGAGGTTTATGAAATGCAAAAAAAAAAAATTGCATCTCTTTATTATCAAATACTGAAAATGTGCCTCCGGAGACAATATTCGATTCAAATTTTTTAGTTTTATCATTTCTTTAAAACTATTTTGTCATCTATTCAAAAAAATAAAAAAATATTCCTTTTAAGAAGGATTATTCGATTTTGCTTTGCTTCAGTCTCATCCCATCATCCAATATATTATCATCAATGAGCCTTTTCTCCTTCTCCTTCTCTTTCCTTTTTTTTTTCATCCCATTTTATAGTTCTTCGTCATTTCATTTCATCATCTTTCCACTTTCTCACTTTTCTTTTACAGACATTTTCAAAATAATTTTCCAATTGCCGCATTTCAACTAATGGAAATTGGAAAATTGTCAAATTTAACAATGATTTTTTTTTAAATGAAAAAAAAGTATGCATTATTTTTTCGGATAATTTTTGTTTTGTTTTAAGTTTGTTCAATCTGAATTACAGAAAGAAATTTAGATCATTGGAGACAATTGATAATTTAATTAATTGGTTGTAATATTTCTCTACTTTTTTTTATCATTTTTTAAATTATAGAACTAAAAAAAAATCTTTGTTTGTTTTTTTCTGTTTCATTTGTGTAATAATTTTAATATATTTACGAGAATAATGTAAGGAAGCTATAAAAATTATTTTTTATAACTTACAAAATATAAAATTCAGGTAGAAGTAAAAGCGAAAAATATAAAAGATAATTTGACCAATTAATTAGTAAAATTTTTATTTCTGATTAGAGACAAATGGTAGTTTGACTAATTACCGTAATTTTTTCTACCATTTTTTTTTCAATAGCCAATGTGTAAATGAGCAGAAACTTTGCAAATTATAATTTTAAAAATTTCAAATATAACTAAATTATTTGGGTTTAGTGTAGCACAAAAGAAAATAATTGATAATATTTTTCGTCTTATTGTAAATGCATGAAATATTTTATTAATTTTTTTAATATTTTGTTAATATTTTGTTAATTTGTTAATTTTAAAATTCGATGATGAAACAATTCGATTATTGAATTTTTTTACTTCCCTATAAATGGACGATTTTATAACATAAATATTAAACAAGATTGATAATATTTTGATAATGTAACGGTGCGGTGTTTTTTGTCATGATATTGTATGTTAACGATATATTTTTTTTTTAAATTCTAAAATATCTATGGATAAAATTCATAAACAACAGTATGAATATCTTTCAAATTTAAAATTCAATGTTATCAGTATCCATTTCCTCAATTTTTTTGACTCAAGTGGGAATTGTTCTCGTCCTCATTGGAGAAAAATAATCAAAAATTTTACATTAAACTATTATTATCGTTCATCAAAAATGTATATTTGAATGATATACAAATTTTGGTTTACCTAAAAATTATAAATAAATATTGCTTTTAATGAAGTAATATTCAGCATAATATTTAAAATATATGCTATAAATTTCAAGAATAAAAATTTTAATTGACTAATGGTTTCAATTGACGAAATATAAATCATGAATTGAATAAACTCATAATAGAAATGAAATTTAAGTAAAATTTTGCATTCAGTAAATGAAACTAAAAATTACTATTAAAATGAAGTTACGTTTTTTTTTTTTCATTTTTCATTTACGTAAGAAATATTTGTTAAAAAAAAATATCGCTATTCAAATGAATAATATTAAAAGGTATTTACTGAATGGAGAAAATGATTTATTTTCGACGATAAGTAAAGAGGAAAATTGAGATCAAACAGTTGTATTATTCTATTTCTTCAATAAATTCATTCCAATTTTATTATTTTTCATATTGATACTGTCGGCACCTTCGT